TTTCATCTGTTATCGCTAATTTCTTTAAATTTGTTTTCATATCATATGTTTCTTTCAGGGAAGTTTTATTATTCTCAGATCATAAATTTTCCTGACCCTGCTCCAGTAATAGTTAAGGGCTTTCTTTCCTTTACAATAAAAGAAGTTGACAGGTGTGAGTTTACCAGTTACCTACCTTGGCCTTACCAAAACTGAGCCATATCCCTTGAACAAATGTACCAATAATACAAATTCTATTATAGTTCACAAACAGCATTCATTTCTGGCTGTCCTTTCTTACTAAGAGTCAATCTAAATAGTATTTAAGCATCTAAGGCCCAGATCCTAGTCTATCTACCAAACATTACTTACACAGGTTTTAGACCCTAACTCACGTACTCCTACTAGAAGTAGTCCAAATGCAGATGCTTATAAGCAATCCAATATGACCATTAGCCCTCCAAGCCCATACATGCTCTTGTTGTCATCATAATCCAGTTGGGGAAGCATATAAATGTCACAAAAAGTCTCACATAATTCCTGAAACTTTAGTCAGAGAAGAAACAGGATTAATGACTGTTTTGACAGCTAGTCATGGTGATGCCACTTCTGCTTTAAACCAGTAAATGGTTTGGTAAGTTGCTCACAAAGAGGGAGACATCTCCAACTCCCTGGGCAAGTGCTCTAACCACTTAAGCTATGGAGCTAAATGGTTAGTGCATCCTCCTTTTCCCCACCTTGTGCAGATAAAATTAAGAGCTAAAACACGATCTGGGCCTTAAACATTAAGAGCTAAACCAGCTCAGCCTGTCTAACCTGCTCTTGAAAACTTCCAAGGATGGAGATTCCATTGTTTCTCTAGGTAGTCTTTTCCAATGCTTGACCACCCTCATAGTCAGAAAGTTCCTTATCATCTCCAACCTAAAATTTCCCTTGCTGAAGGACAGATCCTAGTCTACCTACAAGTGTCAAGAAGCAAAGATCTGTTGTAGTTACTATGAATATCTACACTTTTTAGTTAGGTAAAAGATCACGGCGTTACAAGAGAGCTGTCTGGATAGACTGTGGCATTCATGCAAGAGAATGGATTGGCCCTGCCTTTTGCCAGTGGTTTGTGAAAGAAGTAAGTTTTTAATATAATACTTTTGCTTTAGCAAACTCTTTCAATTCCTTATATACTGCATACAGATTATAGTTGATCTTATTAATAATAATGATGCCATCTGGCTCTTGCATTGCATTTTTCATCTCTAGATTTCAAAGCATTTTTACTAAAAAGGCTAGTTTCCAATTATGATAGCCAGACACAAGATACTGACATGTCAGACATATTGGCAGAGACTTGAATTGGGAATCTATTTAGAAATCCCAGAGAGCAAGAACTGAAATTCTAGTAATAGTCCAGGTAAGTTGACGATAACACTAATGGTTGTAGAGCAGTCTGGTAAAATCTTTGTCTTTATAACTTACACTAGGAAAGATACTATCTGTCATTTGTGCAACAGTTGGAGAAAGTGAAAGAGAGAGAAGAATTTAAACCAAAATAGTCAATTTGGGGGGTCTCTGAAAATGCAGTGGTTAATTAATATCTCCTTGACTCCACCCCAACTAGATTATTGTTCTGTTAACCCAGGGCCAGGCAAAGTACAGATCTGGCTTGTCAGACAATTTCATCTGGCTCACAGGTGGGTGGCCCACCAATTAATTGTATATCACCCAGCTCACAGCTGCCCCTGCTGCACTTGCATGATGCCGAAGCCCCTCCCACTCCAGCTGGGGCAGCCCCACCCAATCCTGCTTGGCTCCTTGTGGGAAGAGAGCCCTGGCCCCAGCCCCAGCCAGCACACAGCTTCCAGGCAGGGCCACTGCTGCCACTGCCAGGAGAATTGCTCAGCTTCCCCAGTTCCTCCTCATGTCCCTGCTGCAGTGCTCTAGGCAGCAGGTAGGGAAGCACCAGCAGGGGGGGAGAAGCTGCAGCTGAGTGGGAGTGCGGAGCCCAGGGCCCATGTCCAGCGAGGTGGCAGGAGCATGGAACTTGGGTCGGCCCAGCTCATGTGCAGCAACCAGGACTTGCATGTCACTGGGGGGGAAGCCCCACACAGTGAGCCAATGGCCTTCCCCACTCCCTGCCACCATGTGCAGTTCCCAGGACTGCAGTGGAATTGGTGAGGAGCCCTGCGTGATGTAGTCAGGCTAGCTCAGCCCCACTCCCTGCTTCCCAGCAGATTCCCAGGAACTGCATGTGATGGCAGGGAGTGGGTCCAGGCCACTGGGTGCATTGCACGGGGCTCCCCCCACATGGCATGCAGCTCTGGCTGGGTCCCAGGAGCTACATGTGAGACACAGGGAGCCCTATGCAATGGAAGTGGGTCGGCCCAGCGCCATTCTTCGCTGCCATGTGAAGCTCCTGGAAGTGGCTGGAGATGTAAGCCACTAGGGAGCTCCACCTGCACGAGCCATGAGCTCCCCAAGGGCCTGCTGCTTGCTGCTGCTGGTGGTGGGGGCTGTACATCATGGGGGGACACATGGGGGGAGACACCCACACCTTCCCCCACACATAAAGCCATACCCCTCCACAACCCTCCCCCCCCACATACACACACATACACTCCCCACACCTCCTCATAAACCCCACTCCCACCCACACATATACACATGCCCCCATACACACCCCACACACAACATACACAAGTAAGATTTTATTTTTTATGCAGTCACTTCTATATACTCTATGCAAACGCATGTAAATCAGGACAAAAATCAGTTTGATTTTCAGCATATGATTTGCCTTTTTTTCCCCACTCCAAGATGGTAACCCTCCCCCCCCCCCCCCAAAAA